TGGGCACGGCAGGAGCGGCTCAGGGATGGCGGTGGGCTCGGAGGGGCAGTGAGCCGGGGGAGCTCGGTGATGCCTGCCGGGGCTCAGCAGGAGCTGGGCCGGTGGGGGGGTGACGCAAGGGGCAGTGGGAAGCGCCGGAGGGGGGACCCGCGGCACAGGGACGGGGTGTCTCACTGCTTTTGTGCCCTCAGGTGCCCAGGGCTCAGTCTGTACGTCTCCCCAGTCATTCCTGTCTACAATGCCGTCGTCTTCCTCTTCGTGCTGGCCAACTTCAGTATGGCCACCTTCATGGACCCAGGCATATTCCCACGAGGTGAGTCTGTCTCCGCTTGGGAAGTGTCTCGCGTAGAGCTGCCTCCTTCCGCCTTTCCTCCAAGGTGAAGAGGATTACCCGATCCCAAAAGGCTTGAGGAGAGCCCTCCTTGCCCTGCCTGGGGGGAGCCGGGTGGTGGCACATGCTGCAGGGACAGTAGCTCTGGGTTTGACCCCCAGCCAGTAGGACCGGGTGGTGGAAGCAGCGTAAATCCTGGCACCCCGTGTTAGGTACCTGGGGCTCAGGCGGATGTCGTGGTTTCAGGCAGGGCCTGGGAGAGCCCCCCCCTGCCTCTGCCTGTGTTTAGGGGGTCCCGGACTGGTCCCTGTGCCGGGTGAGTTGGGCCTGGTGATGCCAGATGCTGGGCGTCTCCGGCCCAGGAGGGCCCGAGGCTGCCTGGGCCCGGGCGTCACCTTCCCTGTGCCCTGACGCGTGGCTGTGCTGGGGCTTCCCCATCAGCTGAGGAGGACGAGGACAAGGAGGACGACTTCCGAGCTCCGCTCTACAAGACGGTGGAGATCAAGGGCATTCAGGTGCGCATGAAGTGGTGTGCGACCTGCCGCTTCTACCGGCCGCCGCGCTGCTCCCACTGCAGCGTCTGCGGCAACCGTGTGGAGGGGGTCCCGATGCCTCTTCATTTCCACGTAGAGTTGAAAATGCAGCACAGGTAGGAGGCCCTGGCAGCCGAGCTCCTCACTGTGTCTTCTCCCCACCTGCAGGAGTTTGACCATCACTGTCCCTGGGTCAACAACTGCATCGGGCGCCGCAATTACCGCTACTTCTTCCTCTTCTTGCTGTCGCTCACCACGCACATCATGGGGGTGTTTGGCTTCGGCCTGCTCTACGTCCTCTACCAGGTGGAGGAGCTCTCCGGCGTCCGCATGGCCGTCACGTATCCTCTGCCAGGCTGCGGGAGGGGGCCGGGGGAGGGGGGCATCGGTGGGGCTGGGGACAGCGTGCTGTTGAGCAGGGCCGCCGGCCTGCTGATAGTATGGTGGTGATGTGCGTGGCCGGCTTATTCTTCATTCCTGTCGCTGGCCTTACGGGGTTCCATGTGGTGCTCGTGGCGAGGGGCCGCACGACCAACGAACAGGTACGCCTGCAGGGCTGCTAGCCCCTGTCATGTCAGACGGGGGGTACCTTTTGGGGCTCCCCAGAGCCAGACGGGCATGGACAGGCTGGATTGAGGCAAGGGGCGGCTGCTGGGCTGGCTGGGGGCTACAGCACGAGACATCTGTGAGGGGAGGCTGAGAGCACCTCGTCCGTGCAGCCTGGAGACACGGGATCTTTGCTGCTGCAGTTAGGGGTGCCTGTAGAGGGGATGGAGCTGGGCAGGCTCTTCTCGGGAGGGCAAGAGGCAACAGGCACAACCTGAAACAAGGCAGCTTCCAGTTAGACATGAGGGAAAGACATTTTCCCTTTGATGGTAGTTCAGCACTGGAACAGGGACCTGGACAAGGTGGGGGGAGTATCTCCAAGTGTCTGTGTGCTCGGAGATTGTCGTGAGTGAGCTGGACAAACCCTGAGCAACCTGGCCTGGCTGGCGGGACCGGAGACTCCCCGGAGGTCCCTGCCTACCCCAATAAGCTGCAATGCTCCTCATTCCGCAGGTGACAGGCAAGTTCCGCGGTGGTGTCAACCCCTTCACCAATGGTTGCTGTAAGAACGTCAGCCGGGTCCTCTGCAGCTCCCCGGCCCCGAGGTGAGCCCGGCACAGCCCAGCAGCTCCCGGGCAAACTGCCCCACTGAGCTTCCAGCCCTGACCATCCTCCCGCCCCTGCCCTAGGTACCTCGGGCGCCCGAAGGCCGAGCAGACGGTGCTGGTGAGACCCCCCTTCTTGCGGCCTGAGGTGTCAGACAGTCAGATCACTGTCAAGATCATGGACAACGGTATCCAGACAGAGCTGAAGAGGACAAAGGTGAGGAAGGTGGGGATTACCGGTCCCTGTGTTGGGGCCCTCCATGGAGCCCAGGGGTGCAAGCCTGCATCCGTGAGTAAAGAACCGAGTGAGCCTTGTCACATTCCTCATCCCCCTCCGTGTCATCTTGTTCTGTGTCCTCACGGGACGGAAACCATGTCCCTCCCATGCGGCAGCAACCACATGAGGCTTTGCACCCTCTGTTGCCCTTCCCTGTCCTGTCCTTCCCCTCGCAGCATCCGTCAGAGGTCCCCCTTCCTCAGCACTCCCCAGCCCCTGAGGCACGTGCCACCTGCGAGCGCTCTATGCTGGATGGCCCAGGAGGCAGCGAGGGCCCCCTTAGCGCCGCTGCCCGCTTCATGCCTGCCGAGGGAGGGCTGAGGCCTTGGTACCCCTCTGACCCCTGCTCTGCGCTTTGTCTCTGCAGTCCAAAGGAAGCCTGGAGGAGGCCCCGCCTCCCGCCCCCGAGCCCCCCCCCCCCCCTAAGCCAGACCCCAGCCGCTACACGGGCCTGAGGACACACTTAACCCTGGCCACCAACGAGGGTAAGGAAGGCATGCAGGTCCCCGGCAGCCACTGGGAAGGGAGCCCAGGGCTGTGCCAGGCAGACAGGAGCCAGGGCCGTAGGCCGAACAGGCTGCAGGGCAGACCCGAAGTACATCAGCACCACCTTACAGGGCAGAACGTGCCCACATCTCCGGGCTGGTATGTGTGGCCGCTTGCGCTTGGAGAAGCCTGCGGGGTGCTAACAGCTGGCTCTGCTCCCTCGGAGAGGAGCAGGGGGGCTGAGCCGAGACAGTGCGCTGCTTGTCTGGACCTGCTGTGCGCTGCGGTGCTGCAGGCAGGTGCAGGAGCATCTCCCAGATGAAGGGGGCGAAGGAGTGGCAGGCCTGGCATGGTGGCAGAGAGCACGTCTGTGGCAGCCTGCGTGGCTCATCTTCCCTGCTTCCCCGAGCACTGGCGAAGCGGTGCTTGGAGCTGCCTGCGTGGGCTTGGTGAGAGAGGTGGGCTGTGAAGGGCAGAGCGCGGGAGCAGCTGCTTCCCGCAGCGGGCGGAGGCCTTTGCAGCTCGCCCTGGGCTGGGGCACAGCGCTGCTCAGCCCCGTGGTCGGTGGGGTGCCCAGGCACCCACTGACAGCTCTCTGTGGTGCACGACCCACCGGCCCCGGGGTGCCACCCAGCTGGGGCCACTGCAGGGGCACGGGAGTGCCAGCCCCAGACACATTGCCATGGGGACACGTTTTCCATCCTGCTCTGTTTCATCCACCCCTGGTGCGCCTCTCCTCAAGCCCATCCCTCTCTCCACCTCCACCTCCCTGGTCTGTCTGCCCCAGGCTCAGAGCCGGTTCTTGGGAAAGGAGGGCAGGCCTCCGCACAGCGTTCCTTCCCCTGCGCAGCCCTGGGGAGCCGCTGCTCGTCTGAACATTTCTC